GAGAAACACTGTGTTAGAGCATCTGCCTCCAGCACTAATCTGTTCAAAAGATAGATAAGAGCAGATATTAACATAGATATTAGGTAGAGTATCACTTCCAAGGAAAAATTAACCCTTGATTACTATTCCACTGATACTGAATGTGAATACACCCACATACACGGCCGCTGCTAGCACCATTAATTGTGCAACCGCCAACTGCCCCGTCACAAAAGATATTCAATATTAGGGATGGGAATTTATTGATACCAATACCATTATGCTGATCGGTCCGTTGCTTTGTCGATTACCTCACTGATTTCTTGATCAACTGGAACAATTTGAAAAATCTGGGTTATTTATTGGCAACACAACACAGTGTAGAAACAGAGTTATTTCAGTTAGTACTTATGAATTGCAAAATGGTTCTTGATTCCATGCAATTTGTCCCAGTAATGTTTGTTCTTAAAGTGCAGTGAGGTAGCATCACATGACTTACTTAAGCAATGTTTGGGTCAAAAAATGTTATAAATGCAGTTGCAAGAACAACTCTTTCAAACTTGATTTGAAACAGAGCTCATTCTAATTATAACTATTCTAATTATCTATTAACTCCCCCTGCTCTTTCATTCCATCTGCCGGGTGTCTCTCGGTCTTTCTGTGGCTCACTCTGTTTGGAGTGTTTTGGAGTGATTATTATTTGGGGTGCTTTAACTTTGTGCTCCGCCTCATGCCTCATGCCTCATGCCTCTGGGCGCATGGAGAGACGTTTTCTCTCCAGTGCGTACCTGACATCTCAGTTTCTCTCAGTGGTAGGTTTTATGTTGTTTTATAGTTTCATTCCCTCACGGTGAATTATTGTCTGTGCCATCTGTGCGCATATCAGCTTTGGTGACTTCTGCTGTATCACTGGAAAGTCTGAGTGTGACAACTTATAGATGCATTTCAGTCCTCTGAAGGCACTAATAATTTCACTGTAACTGCATGTGGCTATTAGCGCTGGTGTTTGAGAATTTGACACAGAAAGACGGCAATTTTGCGCCACATTTATATTACCTAATTTAATTATTAATTAAGCATTAGAGTACTGAGATGCTATTTGCTTGGCAGTGCAGTTAGAGATGCATTAAACCCTTTCCATGTGCTTTTTGTTGCTTTCTTTTTGTCTTATTTTGCAGTGGCTGCTCGTTTTTTTAAGTAATTTTTTTAAAGGTCCAGTGTGTAACATTCAAGAGGATCTACTGGCATAGGCAATATAATATTCATAGATAAGTTTTCATTAGTGTATAATCATCTCCAAATAAAAATGTATTTTTGTTATCTTAGAATGAGATGTTTGATATTTGGGTGGCGGAGTCCGCCATATCGTTATTTCCTAAGATTGGAAAAAAGTTTCGCCTTAAACCTGCAATAACTTTGGTTTTTTTTGCCACTGAGGGGCAGCAGAAACAAGTTGTAAACGCAAAATTAACATATTACTTTGAAGTTGATATGTTGAACTTGTTAGCAAACAGCTTATTTGCACATTCAGCAGCCATAGAGTTACAGATCACTCATCTGGAGTAGTGTTAGTGTCCACCTCTTACATATCTCTCTATAAAAGCAAGAAATCTCTGTCTGTCTGTCTGTCTGTCTGTCTGTCTGTCTGTCTGTCTGTCTGTGTGTGTGTGCCTCAAATATCTCTGCAGATCAGGATCAGACTGACCTGAGAGTTTCAACATGGCTGCTGTGTAGTTTAAGGGTGTGCAACATCGGCTTTGTTTGGACTATAAAGATACCGTTAATAATTCATTAATTTCATTTCATAAATGATTTACGAATTCTGCTAGCATTGTCAAACATAGCCACCATAGCCAAATGCGCTCCAGAGCCAATCACTGCAGAGCCCACCCCATGACAAACACGCTGATCTGATACCTGCAGAGGTGCGAGCAGTGCATCTACACTGACTGTTGTGGATTACTGAGACTGAACGAGTCCGGACCGAGTCTGTTCCGGTGTGAGGAGATCCGGATACGCGAGGACAACAAACTGGAATCGGAATCTGTGGATGTTCGTCTGTAGCGAGCTGCTACACCTTCAAACACAACCTCATTTGGCCATCCATGAAAAAGCTACTTAACCTCCCACTTTTCTATATATATACTTCCTACGGGCACTGCACTAGTAACTATTGATCATAACCAAAATGCAACCATGCTCGTGTTTATCTAGATGTTTTTTTTTTTTTCATTTTCAAGTCATCAAAATGCAATGAGAAAGTGTTTTAATATTAACATGATTTTGCTGCACCTTCCCTCAACCTGCCTTACCCTTCCACTCGTCCCATCATTATCCAGAATGCCTTTGGACGACCACAGAAAACATACATGAGTGTCGCTTCCCTTCCTCTAAACTCAACATGTTTTATGAGTTCAGTCCTTTTAGGTCTATTGAGGCCATGGTTGCATGTGTTCCTCCTAATAGATTACATTCCCTGACAACAATATCTGATGGTAATCCCAAGCACTAGCTCCACAACAAATTAATTCAATTGCACAACTGAGTGGATGTGCATGTTTGGAGATAATATGTTATAATTCTTGCCAGGTTTCCGTCTCCCCAGACAGGACTCTCTGCCTCCAAGTGGACCTCTAAGGACTTATTATCCTAGCTTAGCATTGCATGGAACACCTGCTCACTTTGTCTTTATGAAACATTTGTGAGCTGTGTTGAGAACACACTGACATTAGGACACAGCTCATTACTCCGGGCACTGGCTGGTTGTGTGTAAGAACACACACATTCCTCCCAGGAATGCCTGGTACACCACTCCAATGTTCACACCTGGAACATACTCAGAACAAACAAAGTCCTTCACTTCCTATTTCCAGGACATTTAGTCATCCTAATCAATTTCCAGGTGTTTACTTGGCTGGAAAACTACTCTCTAAATTTCTAGGTTTTCCATGATGTGTGGGAACCCTGCACAGTTCACCATTGCAGCACCATCAACAAAGGCTGGAATCTTAACAGGCTGTTTCCACTGTGTGGTCTTGAACAAACTTTCACATTTTTGGCACCAGGCCATGCTAATAGTGGGAGTTTGTGCACCCAGGTTTTGAGATATCTGCCTCTTAAACAACTGCTCCCACTGCTGGGATTTATTGTGCATCACAATCCTCAGATTATTCCTCTGACCTCCCAGTCACAGAGACTATTTCTTTAGTAGAAAGTAGCTCAAAACAGTTCCTAGCAAAAATTGATCGGGAACAGTCACAGGACAGACAAGTTTTAATGAATCACTTCTGTGGTATTTTATTTCTGCCATGCATCAATTTAAATGATCAAAATTACTTTAATATAGAAAAGCAGACATTTTATAATTGGGACGGCCAGAATTTACTTTGTGATGGTAAAAACTGTGTTGTGAAAATAGTTAGAGCCCTGAAACAGTAAACTGCTGTTGTATTGCTCCACGTCAGTACATACAGTATAATACCAGAGCAAACCATCACTATCACTACCAGCTCTGTTAGTGCATCGTAATGATCCCTGGAGAAAAATGTGTAGTGAGGCAGGAGGAGAATGCAGGAGAAATGGCACAAATGCCGTGGCTGCTTGTTGATTGGTGGAGCATCTTCCTGCTGCCGGTCTCGGTGTTTTCTCCCTGTTTGGGTCTGTTTGGGTGGACCACATTGTGGACCAGGTCTCATTACCCTCAGGCCTATTCCGATTCTCTTTTCCAAAAACGTATTTACGCAGGTAGGTTTACTACGTGTCTGTTTCAGAGCAGGTCCAAGACTTTTGACCTCTAGAACCTCTAAGGGGACATTTGAACAACTAATTGCTGCTTCAGCTCTGGAACTGACACCCACCTGTCTCTCATTACTTGTTAACCTACATGCTGTAAAAGTAATTCTACCCTGAAAGTCAACTGAGCCTGTGCAAGAAGCGACCAGAGAATATTCTCTTCAGAATGATGAGGGACATTTGCTGGGACTGGGATCAGACCAACCACTTGGCATACACTGGGATTACTGATGGTCAGACTGGGGAACGGGACTCTGGAGGAACTTATAAATAGCTATCACTTTCTCCAATATTTCTTTGTTTCAGTGTTTGTGTTTCTAAAGGCACTTGGTTCAGAATCCAGATATCTGTTGTTGGAGAATGTCCTGGCGTAGGAAGAACACATGCAGACATACACACAAATACTCAAATTTAGACACAGTAATCTTTACCTTTTGGAACTCATATGTGGCATTGATATTCAGTTATATAATACAAAATTTGCTGGATGTCGCACTACAGCACCAGCATCTCAGACTAAAACTAAGGGGTGCTACAGCCCACCAGACTCCATTAACAAAACTAGTCATTTTACCTCAGAGATAATCGTAAAACACATTTTAAACTGCACCGAAACTAAATAAAATTCACCAAAACCACCTTTGTTTGTCTTTCCATTGTCTGTCCAATCAGTAACACTGACTTGGTCGAAATAAATCCTCATTTTATCAAGTTAGATGTAATGTACTAACAGTAGTAGTTTCTGCCACAGACAGACTCAGGTTGTTATTGTCAGTGTCTGACAGCATTATGGAAAGGATCCCTACAGAAAGAGACCTTTAGTTTAAACAGAAACAGCCGTAATATCACTATCACTCTCCAGACTCCAGAGCCAAAAACGCTAACGCTAATTTTACCTTGCAGATCATTGTAACTTAATTTAAAGTGGACAGAAACAAGTTAAAATGCATCAAAACCTTCTTTGTTAGTCTTTCCAACAATCACCAACTCTGGTTTGGTGGAAATAAATCCTTAATTCACCGATGTAGATGAGAAAACAAACCATTTCAGTCGCTCTTCTCAATGCCAACAGTTACGGTATACATGGAGGGACACTAACATGCATGTGCCACTGGGCCGGCTGTAAACAACACAGCAAATAGTTGTTGTTGCTATATTAATATTCTAAATCCCGTATATAACACCTTCAAGTTTGACGTCTTTGTGCTCGTGCTTGTGTGCGGCCTTACCACCGGTTTCGCTGTCATGGTAGTTGGGATCGAAGCCTCTCTCCAGCAACTTAGACACCTTGTCCACCTGATTATGCTGGATGAGGTCCATGAACTTCCTCAGATTGGCCTGCACAAACCAGAGAAGAGGAAAAGCTATTACAGTGAGAAGAAAGAACAAATGGTGGTGGGTGTGAGAGAAAAGAAGTCAGGATAGAGGTTCAGAGCTGTAAAAAGACTGAAATAGAAGTTGAGATAGAGAAAGGTGTAGAGGGTCAAACATAACTGAAAAGTGGAAGCGTTTAGGAAAACAGCGTGAAAGTGAGGGAGACTCACTGCTGAATACAAGGTAGAATAAAAGGTTACTGAAACCAGGAAGCACACGAGGGGAGAGTGTGGCGATTGTGGGGAGTGGAATGGCTGCTGGTTTCTCTTCTGTTCCCGTCTGCTTTCTTTCCAGGCCGCAGTGTAAAAATAGATAAGAGAGCAGCTCCCCGAAGGAGAGGAGAAAATGAGGAAAGAAGAATGAGATAGCAGAAGAAGGAAAAGACAATGGGTAGCAATAAAAGAATAGACTGAGAAGAAAAGGCACAAGAATAAATGAGGGGGAGTAAAAAGGCAGGGTGGGAGTAAAAGATAGGGAGGTCCTGATCACATCATGTTGCCCCTGATACAAGCTGAAGATTGAGCCAATACACAGAAGAAGAAATTCATTTCTTATTATAATATTTTCCTATGTTATACAGCTGTACAGTACACAAGATTTTTTTCCCCAGGATGGCAAAATCATGACCCAACCCAGGGGTGCACAACCTACAGCGGTCTCTAGCCCCTCTCCAGCGGCTCCCTGTGGCTTTAACAAAAAATTATATAGAAATGGTTATTTTCTTTAAACATTTTTAGTAATTAATCAACCAAAATGTGCATCATTCGTTGAGTCCTGAGGCTAGCTATTGGATTAAAGGTCCAGTGTGTAACACTGAGGAGGAACAATTGGCAGAAATTTAATATAATATTCATAGGTACGATTTCATGAGTATATAATCACATTGTTGTTATTACATGGTTTGGCTATAATGTCAAATTGGCTTCAAAGCCCGGCGCTCTTTCTGGACCACTTCCATGGAGTCGGCCATGTTTCTAAAGTAGCCCAGAACGAACAAACCAAACACTGGATCTAGATACGGGCCCTCTCATGGCCACCATAGCTACCCCCCCTCGCAGTTGGAAACAGAGGGTGAAATTGATTGCAAAATACGTTCTGTGGCACCAGACAGATTTATTTTTTACTTTCTTGTCCAAAAATTGCTCTTTTGACAGTTAAGGAACCAATTTCACTCCTCAAGCCAAACCATAACAAACCAAACCAATAAAGGCAACGAGAACAAGCCAATCAGAGGCAGAGTGGAGCGGGTTATGACTTTGCCATCCTGGAGAAAAGAAATTTGCGTACGGCACACATTCGGGGCATTTTAATAGCTACAATTATTGTAGAAACCAAACAAATAATCAAAAATAGATCAGAAATAGATTCACTTAGCCAATACCTGTGCATGAAATATGCCTGATCGGGCTCTATCCCAATTAGTTTGACACATCCCTAGAGTATGATATCACTAGCCTGGTTCCACGCTTCTGGATCTCAGCCCAAATCTTCATTAGTCACTGCTAAATAGATCAAAATAACACCTCCCAAACTGAAACAGCTAAGAAGAACATGATGTCAGACTGAATGATGAAGTCATATTATCAGACTAGCATTACTGTGTAGCTTTTAACAGCTGGTGTGTCCACAGAAAACAAACAGGAGATTGACAATCTGGTGTTTTATAGCCCCTACCAATCCACCCAAAATCCCCCAATCGGTTCAGATGCTGAAAATCTGCTCAGAAATTCTCTGTGAAAAATGCTTTTTTTATTGACTTTCTATTGTTGACACACACTTTTATTATGTTTTAGCTTGATTTCTACTTTCTTTAATTACTAGGTTCATACCTGAAGATCATTTGAATGAAACCAAGCAGGATTGACCACAGATATGAAGAGCTGCTGTTCAGGTATCAGCCATGATGAGTCACCGCCGGTTCAATATCTGGAAATGTCGAGGGTTCATGTACATGGCCCTGTGTTTTCATGCAATGTTTTATTTAATGTAGCTGATATGTCCCCTGTGTGTGTGTGTGTGTGTGTGTGTGTGTGTGTCTGCGGGCCTGGTGAATCAGAGTCTGGAGGATGGTGCCCTCTCCCTCTTTCTCCCTCTTTCTCTCCCTCTCTCTGCTGAAACAGGTTGTGAGGCTGGCGGTGGATTGGCTGTCTCAGTGTGAGCTCCAGCCAACCACAGAGCACCAGACTGCACGGCAAACAGGATTAGCTCCAGAAAGTTGGGTCAGGCCAAGAAATTAGGAAAAAAAAAACGACTCTATTAGAAATAAAAGTGTATCATAGAAGAGCCACATTTTCTGACTAATGACTTTTGCAAAGTGTAAATGTGTTGGAGTGTGTGTGTTCATCTCCCTTGCTCCACGTTTATTAAACGTGTCTTTGCATTTTCCATTTTTCGTTCTCCTTCCTTTCTCTTTGCTTTCCATCTCCTGTCCTCTCTTTCCTGCATTCAGATGTAGAATTAGAGCAGCTGTCAGACAGTTTCCTAGCGTGCCGCTAACAGAGAGCTGCCAGAGACGCTTATGCTTTGGCTGCACTACAGGATTACAGTAGCTGTGGGACAGCAGCCCAGAGCTAGCCTTACACAACGGTGGCTAAAACATGTACTGTAGAGATTTACTTCAGTTCATGTGGGAGGGAAGAGACGGAGCAAGGGAGGAGGCTGCTGTTGGGGCTGGCAGGAATGAAAAGGTTTTCCTTTTTTAAGAACAACTCTAAAAGGAGGGCTTGGGTTTCTTTCAAAATGTGATTTTAAATTGTCAAACTTTCACAGACAGTTTCTTCAGTATTTGGAAAATGATATTTACTCAGTTTTTCTCCTGATGGATCAACTGTATGGAACAATAGAGTTTTTACAACCTCTATATTGAAAAGACCCCAACTGGTCGAGGCAGACGACTGATGAAGTTTAGCTTGATAGGTAGGAAGAGTTTTGCTAAAATTAGCTTAAGATGTGACTATAAAAAGAAGTTGTTTTTATCCTTTCTTTGCTTATTTATGTTTGGTGACAAAGAAATTATATATTCATCTATATATCTATATCTTTATATATTTTTATGTAAATCCCCCATATTTATTTATCTATTTTGATAACATTGAATTATATTACATGTATTCTCTATTAGTTATTGTATGTTTTTTTTTATATGTGTTTGTTAAATAAAAAAAAAAGGAAAAGAAAAGCTCTAAATGAGCATAAAGCGAGAGGTCCGCTACACTGAGCGCTTGCTCCGGGCGTCTTTTCCACCCTTCCCGTCACAGAATGAAACAGACACAAACACTCTCTTACCCCAAGTAACTAGTGAAGCTGTTAAATAGATAATGCAATCTGTCACAGCCTTTTCCCTTTTCTAAATCCTTTATTATATTTTGGCACCACCTTTGACATGAAACAGTCATTACTGTGGAGTGTTCACACAGCTCTTCCCAGAGGCCGGTCCACAGTCGGGCCGAGGTGGGCGGCACTCTGACATCTTTCTCTTGAATTGCTTTGTCTGTTGCTGCTCATGCTCGCTCCCCAGTTTGTCTCCCAGCTGGCAATGTTCCCCACTACTCCAAACCAGAGCGGAGGAAAGGCAGAGGCTATCGCTGACCAATAACAAAAGAGTGATTTAGCAGCATTTAGCCAGTTTCTGACAGCTTTGGGAAAGGTGGGTCTGCTGCTCAGCAACCATTGTGTTATATTCTTCCACTTTATTGATTCTTTTCAATATGTTTTTACCTGCTGGGTAATTTGATGTGCACACAGGAAACAATGCATGCTGTTTGTTTGAGTGCCAAAATCAAGTAGGAATAAACATTTCTAGATGATGTGGTGTTGATTGCTGCATTTGCATAACGGGTTTCTGCTTACAGTCGAAGCTGGCACTCGTGATACTGTAATAAATCACTTGCAGTCTCTGAGAGTCAATGTGCTCTTAACAAGGCTTACATTTAAAGTTAGTTTTACCATTTAGTAGAATAAACTCACCTTTGTATGAAGTTTGGCAATCTGTTTTTCGTCCACATTGGGCTGCCTGTAGACTCGGCTCTTGTAGCGAAACTGTTGAATGAAAGAAAAGGTCCAAGGTCAGTACACACACCTTATCATTCGACAAAATCTAGGTAGTGTTATTGACTTTGAATCTTGCTAGCATAACCTTAGCTCTCTTGCTCGTAGCTGAGCAAGAACTAGAAATAGCTCCCATTGCCAAGTTGTATCTATGGTTTGTCCTATTTGCTGGAGCAATGAACAACGTTAGAACCTTATGGGATGGCAGTGATTGGTCCAGGTAGTAGTCAAACCTTCAGGTGTTACCACAGAGTTACGGCTTGTGAAAAACTTTAGATTTGGACAAAACACTTGAAAATATAAAATTGTTTTTTTCTTTTCTTTGGCAAGTGACCATGGTATAAGGGGGATAATGCCCTTAGAGGTGTCCATTATCAGGAATCAATGGCTTCAATGTCGTCCATTAATTCCTGATAATGAACACCTCATCAGGCATTATCCCTCACATGAACTCTGTGGGGGCAAATACATCTTCAGCCAACATCTTTCAGTGAAGATTTATTCAAATTAAGTACATTTTAGCATTGGAAACTGGCTAATTGTTTTTTTTTTGCCTAGTGTATATGAATATTTCTGCATACTGGGGGTCCTAAACAGTATTGGGTATAGCAGGAAATGTGAGACTCTTGTGCATTCAATGAGCCCAACTGTATTCTTGTTTGTTTGTCCCTATAGTAGCCATTTCATACAGAGAGACCAGTTTTTCAAGATCTGACCTTGCTGTATTAAATGACCTCTAGGATAATCACAGCCTCATGAAACCACTTAGTTAGAGACATTAAGAGGATGGATGGCTTTCCTAGCTATGATGACAGTAACAGGTGTTACTGAATCGCAGCATACATTTTTCTGTAGTGTTCGTCAAGGTCTTGGTATCTCAATATGGTATTTTGGAGGGATTTTAGACATTTTCTATACATTTCCTGGGTCAAAACTGGTTAAAATGTACACCAACGTATGAGAAACAAAAGAGCATGGGATACTTCTATCATATTTGAATTTGCACCTAACAAAACACACGTTTATTAAAGATATTAAAATGGGTTTGTGGTACGGAGGGGTGGAGTGGAAGAGGTTAAAGCTCTGTTCCAACAGCACTACACATTTGGGAGCTGATAACATGTCTCTCGAAACTCTCAGTCATGAGCTGTTTACTTTACACCTCTGGATGCCTCTTGAAAGCAATTGTTGCTCCGGAAAGAGGATCGCTAGGGGACCGAGTGTAAGATGTGTCCTCTTTATGAGTGGCACATTTCATTACTGTCAAGGCTGTGTTAAATATGAACTTACATCATGTCTTTTCTTTGGAGGCTGCAGTGTTAGTGTGGGATTTGAGCTAGATTGTTTCAGTTATACTTTACTTTAACAGGGTCTTTTTATACACATGTCCTGTTCCTACAGTTGAACGGTGTACAGTAGGGCTGGAAGATAGAAAGGATATTGAGGAATTTAGTTTTACTGTCGATAAGTGATGTACACTAACAGCCAATCAGATCACAGAAACAAACTTATTACAATCAAAGAATATGGCAGTCCTTTAGGATTGAATAGCCCACTTACCAAGACAGGGTTGTCCGAGTTAACTAAGCACACCACATACTACTCATACTGACTCATACTGATTTATTTACTTAAAGCAACATTATGTTACTTTTCTACCTTAACATAACAGCTTCATTATTAGTGCAATGCTACACTGAGATGTAATAAGGAGGAGTAAAACTGGCCAATAGTTTACCTCCAAAGACGGCACGCCCTTGCTGATTGGCTGGGGGTACTCTCGAAGGACGCGCTCTTCGTCCAGGAACTTGCCGTCCCTCCCATTGCTGGCTGGCTGGAAAAGCCCATAGTTGAGCACGTCTTTCAGGCTCTGATTAAGTGTACACAGGATCCGCTGCTTGGCAACCCAGACTGTTGCATCCGGGTTGAACCGCATGCATTTCTGGTTGGATTTGGGGAGAGAATGAGATAAACTGATTAAACAAGTGACGACTGCAGTGTTGGCGGGCAGTCAATCAACACAAATTAAATATTTTAAATAAATATGTCATCAACATTTCAGTCGTGAAACTGGACTTCATACTTTTGACTGACAGATGCAAATAGGCTGGGACGTACGAGTGATGAGAATAGAATCACAGAACAATGGCGCCCAATCAAAATAGATCAGACACACATGAAATTGGTGCTTCAATAACACAAACCCTGTCCCAGTTACTACAAATAAACCAAGCAGCACTGCCAAGCTTTTTTTTTTATTGTTTTATTGTTACCGCGCTGAATGCCAAACAGGGCCACTTCGCCCGCTGACGATGTAATTGACACGACCCCTCTGCCCCCTGGTCTTTCCAAGTTCCATCTTCCCTGAAGTGAAAAAAAAATACAATGCGGGACTTCTGGCCTCGTCTGAATCAGAGAGGATTATGGGCGCTGTGCCGTGGCATTCAGGAAGTGTCTGTGAGTGTTTACAGCTGGATGTGCTGCTCCGCCGGCGATAGCAACCCTGCGTCTGTGATAAAGGCTGAAGGGATGAGCCGTCTGTGAACTCTGCCTACCCATAATCCTCTCGCCTGGCGTGGAGTGGGCATGGGAGAGGAGTGGAGGGATGGAAAGATGAAGGGTTGAAGGTGTAGTATACAGAAACAGATGTCTGGCATCTGGCAGGGCTGTTTGGACTGATACGGCCTCTCTTCCTTCTGCTGCTTTATTACAGTGGCAAATTTCCATCTGCTCCCATTATTGCCGCCTCCTCAGCCCTCGAGTTCAACTTAAACAATGTGTGTGACGCTTCCAGGGACCTGGGAATCAGTGTTTTACAAAGTAGAGAGGTCATAGGTGTTTTCGGACCAGACAGTTCTGGGGACTCCTTGAGAGGAGCTGCCCACTGGGGAACTCCCCCGAGAACAACATACCTTCAAGGGCTTTTTATCTGTCTGCCTTTGCACCGCCATTAGGACGTTATTTTTCTGTGACATATATGCTCAATAATCTGTGTGTTTTGTTTCATTGTTTTAAAGCTACCGTTTCAAGCTGTTGTTTACACGGCCGCAATTTATCATCCCACAGAGGTAGTGATCGTAACGGGCGGAGCTGCACGCTGTCTGACTTGATGGCGGCAGAACTTTTTTCTACTGGCTGCTGTGGCTCACAGATACCACGAAAACTCAGAGAGACAGTAATAGCTTTCCTGTGTTCTAAAACCTTCCAATTGTGGTCCAAGAATTCAAAGCAACAGTCTTTGGAAAACTAGCCTGCTTATCTAACCTCAAGTCTGCCATTGTGTCCAATCTTTGAATCATTAGCAAGAACGAGCTCTGAAAAGATGGTGTCTCCATCTGGATGTAAGAGCTGTGTACTGGCATGCAATGAGAGGGGAGATGGGTGAAATAAAGTGAGAAAGAAAAGCTTATTTGAGGAGGACAATTTGAACATTATAGAAGAAGCAAGGACGCAGAGAAGCCTTTGGGGAAGAGGAAATGTTACCACTCCCTATCTGTGATTTTTGTATTTGCAGTGTTGGTTGGTGTGAAAGAGAGGACCGTTGTTACAGCTGCCACCAAGTTTAGTCCCAAAGCTCATTATTACAAGTTCACAATATAATCAGAAACAAGTAAAAGGAGTAGTTTGCCATTGTAGGATGGTTTTGGTGAGGTTTTTCTGTTTCTGTCCACTTACGATGATATTCAGGGTAAAATTACCGTTTTTGTCTATGGAGTCTGGTGGAGAGTGATCACTATCACTCTCCATTACGGCTGTTTGTGGTTAAACTAAAGGTCTCTCTCTGTAGGGATCCTTTCCATAATGCTGTCAGACACTGACAATAACAACCTGAGTCTGTCAGTGGCAGAAACTACTACTGTTAGTGGAACAAACAACAACTACTGTTAGTGGACACACTTCTTCCCCAAAGATTGCGTTGTGCAGCTCTTTTTGCAAATATCTTCCCATCTAACTTGGGGAAAGAAGGATTTGTTTTATCTGTACACAAAGGTACATGTGGCTTTAGGTGGAATTACGTGCTTTAAGTATTTTTTGGGGAGACAGCCCAGTACAGAGACTTCCTGGCTGACGTAACTGTTCGTCTGTTTGTGTAACAATGAAACAAATGAGATATCATTTACGTTAATTGCCTCCTGGCTCCAGCTCCATACTTGGCGCACAGACATAAGAGTGGTATCTATCTTCTCATGTAACTCTCGGCAAGTAACTGAACACGTTCATTTAAAACATTTCTAACTATTCCCTTCAAAGCACATTGATATTGAGAGCAAGAATCTGTTTTGATTAGCAGCAGAAAAGCAGAATAACCAGAGCGTTCTGATCTGGTTTGAACCATACAGCATACAGTGTACAGTGTACAGTGCAGTGTACATCGGGGCGGCAGCCGGGCTCATGTGTGTCTGTGCGTTTGAATTATTCAGCTGAGTTTGATTTCAGAGTGGACTGTGTGACTCAATCATGTGATCAAGTGGCACCACTGAGTGCTCAGTGATGAATGTGAAATCAGGAGCATTAGTGCATACATGTGAGAGAGCTTAGTCCACATTTAAACACACACACACACACACACACACACCTTCTATACTGGAGTTATAACCACCGAGCTAAATACATCAAAGGGTCATGAGTTCATTTCTGGGTCAACACTGTACCTTGAGGATCCAACCCCCCTAGATCACACACACATACACACACACACATACATACACAAACAGACACACACACCTATGCAGCACTCCTTTATTCAATTCATTTTTGCCATTCAGGAAGTGAGAAGAAAGTGGCTACAAAGTGCACTAAGGCAGCTGCTAATAGCTGTATGTTACATTCCTCGTGTTAGCCTCACTGGGATTAAATTGAACACAAATGGAAAGATGTGCTGGGTAAAGAAATCTCCCAAATAGAAAGTTAAAATGAAGAAGAGAGGGGCACCAGGTGGCTGCTGAGAGAGGAGCTCCGCCAACTTCCTGTTTCCTTCTCCTTCTTCTTCTGCCTCTCTGTTTTGTTCTGCCAGCATTCGATGAGGAAATGCTCCTACTCACTGTCATGGACATCCAGTGTGAAGCTATCTGGTCCCCAAGGACACACACATCAAAGGAGGAGCTACAGTACAAAGCTGCATTAGGCCGAGATGAAACTACTGTACAGCAGCTCATCCACGGGGGGGTTACAGTTACACCGCTGGTCTTTGATGATAAACCTTCATATCCAAACAGTCTCTGGGAATGACAGTAAAGCAATATCCACTGCAGCTACAGTGGACATGATCAATGGGGAAGCAGCACTCTGCCTATGGAAGGAGTCTTTCTACCTTTGTTTAAGAGGAGCGATGCATCATATTGTACTCACATACTGCACACCTGGGGCTTTATTAAGAGCAATAGTGTGCAGCTAATGAATGCATGGGGATTCTTTGTCTAAACTTTGTAAATAAAGAGTCCTAATTCAAAAAACATTAAAGTCTCAGAGGAAAGTAGAGTATTTAACAGTGCGTGGACACATTTGTTTGCTTTTACCACCATCACTGGCTTTATATATCAACACTTTATTCTTTATTTAAATACATCAAAAACAAGATATATAACTTGTAATAACTTTGTGCCAATAAGCCAATGGTTGCTGGCCAACAGGATACATAGTTTTAACTGATATCCTCATCAAACTATTGATTACTTACATTTAGACAGTTTTTGTGTTACAAGTTTTCTGAAAATCTGTTTAAATACACAAACTGTGCATTATCTAGTGCTAACGTTTGGTGAATTTAGAAGAAATCTACAGACATAAAATGAAGTTAAATAAACACCTAAATGTGTATTTTGGGTCTTTTCTTTCCAATGCTCTATAACCTGTTATATTGCGTTCATTATAGGTGCTGGTAGGCAGGTTTTCCTACTGTTTCCAGCCTTTGTGCTAATATGCTATATTCCTTATATTTACCAGAAAGATAGAAGAGTGGTATCAGTCTTCTCGTCTAACAGCGTACTTCCTAAAATGTCAATACTTGTGCTTTAAATGTAGAAATACCAAAGACTTTCACATTTACATAATCTGTGGGCAAGCACAATAAAACCCAGGTAGCATGGTTGTTTCTCACTGACACAGTTTGTGTATGAGGTCTGGTCCTAAGAATAACATTCATTATGCATTATTTGCTTTCTGCTATTCATCTACCTGCCATTCATTTACATAATAATGGAAAACCGGGGCACAATTTTAACATGTTTCATCAATCATTTACGTTTTCCTCTGGGTTTCCACATGGTATTATCCTATCATCTGTTATAAACTGCAGTAAAGTATTACACCACACAGCCCGCTGTAGTGTTATATATATATATAATATATATTATTGATCAGTAGTGTGGGCCCCAACTTATATTGTTCAGTATTGAACCGTGCTGCGCCTACACAAGTAACTGTCCCTGTCCTCAATCATCTGCAACAGCTACCAAATCTGGTGTCTACCCCACAATTATTTACAATCACACATTTCCCTTTAAAATATACACCCTCACCTCCGCACAAGTCTATATATCAACCCCCTACATGTCGCCCACTCAACATTCACACACCACTGCGTGTTATTACAGGAAAAGACACCACATGAGTCCAGTTGGTCAAAGGCTTTACGTCAAAATGGAAATGAGTGAAAGATTTCTGTAAAGAGCCAATTTAAAAACCGCACGCAGCGTCTAACACGTTTGAGAGGCTTTATATGAATGCTTCCTCAGAAAGCATTAATTTATTTAAAAGGTAAATCTTACCACATGTATGAGTGGAAGTGATAAGGACCTGTTACAACATAAAATAAAAAGCGCTGGGCCTTTATGGATATTTTTAAGATTAAATTAAAATGAAAATGAAATTGATGGTTGTGTCTAAATGTGTACTTCATCTTTAGACAAAGCACTTTGCATCTTGTCTGCCTGAGTACATGCAAATTTGTTACATCTCATTAGAGGGCCTCAGTACTGTAATGTAATTTTAAAAATGGGTCTGTAAGACTAATTAAGAAAATACAAATAATTTAAAGGTTATATATGAGATTATAAACATTAATATAAACAGTAATTCTCTATATACAGACACAGAGTCACATGGTGTCTCACTCCCTCTGCCTGTGTTGTATCGCAGCCTCTCTGTGGTATGTTTCCATAGCCGGTCTGCTCCGACTGAAACTGCTGTTTTTATCATCTACGTTGGTGAATTAAGGATTTATTTCCACCAAACTAGAGTTGGTGATTGTTGGAAACACTAACAGAGACGCTTTTAATTAATTTTATTCTGTTTCTGTCCACTTTGAATGAAGTGACGATGATCTGAAGGTAAAATTAGTGTTTTTGTCTCTGGAGCCTGGTGGAGAGTGATAGTGATATTACGGCTGTTTGGGATCCTTTCCATAATGCTATCAGGTGCTTGGAATAACAATCTGAGTTGGAAAGACTGTCCCTTTTGTTCTAAGATGCTGGTGCCCCTGTGTGACATCCAGTGTTGAGGGGAAAATGATATGTAAAACCTTTAAAGACAGTTTAAAATAAGACCTTTTCTGAGGTGCAAGTGAGGTTGTTGTGGGCAGAGCGAGCACATGTGGATCACTGTAAACTCAGATTTTTTATACCTGTTTGTTTAATGCATACTGACAGTGATAATAACCCACAGCTGAACTGCCACCAAGGGCCCTGCTGTACAAGTGCCTCTCCAGCAGCTCTAATACATCAACAATAATGTGTTGTGCTGTGTGCCTGCTTCCAAAAAAACGCTGTAAATAAGGCTATAATGTGTCAAATACGGCCTCATTCATTCTCCAACAAGAAGGTTGGATAATCAATACTCAGATGTCAATCATGAAAAACAAATATAGTTCATATTTTATATCGACTCCCACACAACTGCACACATGCTAATATCAGCACGCTCCACATTTCTCCCCTCATCCATCACGGATATTCACCGTCTGCTGCAGGTCAGGGATGAGGACACGGACGACCAGCGAGTTTGTGTGAATGTCGTCCATGCGGCTCTGCGATGGCTCGGCGGTGGCCCTTATGGTCTCGTAAATGGTCTCTTCGCGGGAGCTGTCGGAGGCACAGTCGTCGGAGTAGTCGGAAAAGCTCTGGGCCATCTCATCCTCACTGGAGGTGGGGCTCCGGGGCATACTCAGCAGGTCCGACGGATTCAGCTGGGACACACAGGGATGGAAAAAAGGTCACACAAACTGGAACTGTTCATTAGAGAAAGCAGGCATTACATTTAAGTATTCCCCGTGCTGCCATTAGACACCTTTGGTCGCTTTAGAGAGCCCCCCAAACATGGTGCTTGTTAGTTTATCCTCGTGCATTCTGTGCTCGCAGCCTGCAGGAAACTCCCAGGGGAATTAATGTGACTGCAAATCTTCACAAAAGCCTTTGCTTCATTAGGGTTATACTCTCTGTGAGCCAAAGAACTTCAGGAGGGTGGAAACTACACCCGCAAGCATTCGTACCGTATGACCAAAGGCCCTTCTCCTAAAAAGGCCAAGTGACTGTACTCTATTAAGCTGAGGCGTCGACATGATTTATGGATCAGCGAATGAAACACGTAACATCTCATCAGTCACTTGGTGGCCATGCTCTCGCGAGTGACCTGGATAGAATTAAGACATTTAAAATAACCTGAACATTTAATCATTGGTATCTTAAAATCCACATGGTTTGCTTATCAGTGTGCAGGGACTCTGAATATCACTAATTAATTCAATCTCATCAAGCCATATGCCTGCCTGCAGATGTTTGACCTTAAAGACAGGAAATGGCTGTCTGGTCTCACACTGCAGGTATACCTCTAGCGTCATATTGGGACGCGGCCACCGTCTGTCAAAGTCAGGAGACGCAAGAGCAAGAAAGTCCTGGTTTGGAGGAGGTGGGATGGATAACTTCAACAAACACAGGACTTTCTGCCATGTTTTACTGATTCATGTGCAATACTCTGGTCATTAATTATTTATTATACTTATATATATATATATATATATATATATATATATATATATATACATTGTTCTGTTTTTCATTAGCACACTTATTCTGGGATCCAGTTCTCAGCATTATGAGTTATCTTTATTAGTATCTATTCACGACACCAATGTTATGTACTGTAGAATACATATTTTGCATGAGTCATTTTATATTTTCTATATATTGTAATATAATGCACATATTTTAATGTTCTTCTTATTGTTTCTATTTCTTTCAGCAACCAATTTCTCCCGGGAATCAATAAAGTATTCTGATTCTGTATCTACAGTAGCCCAGAAGGGACTTGGAAGGGGAAGGTGAGATTAAGATGGTTTAGATGCCACTAAATCCTTTACACTGGACCTTTAAGTAATTTACGTGAGTTAACTGAAGTAATGTACTGCAGTTATCCTAACCTGAAGTTAAGTAACCTAACTTACTTTTCCTCAATCTAACCAAGTAGTTTTTGTGCCTAATCCTAACCAAACTGCGACCGTTTCACAACGTTAACCATGAAAGATTTAAGTCTAAGGAGCAGGAGGGCTGCTGACCGAGCAGCAGCTACTTGGGGTGGTGAGAACATGTTGGTTTGAGCGTCCAGGTACGGGCTTGGTTTAACGCTAGGCGTGAGACCTAAGGCGGTCTCCTGTGTTAAAGTCCTGTGTTTGTTTGAGCCATCCATCCATCCACCATATCCATATGTGGACTTTCTCTCTCTTTATTCTACGTCATCTGACTTTGTTGGCGAGTGCGTCCAGAAATGAGGCCAGAATGATTTGTATCCCTAAAGTCTGTACAACCTAATCTAAACGGTTATATAAGTCAATAAACCATAACAATTGAAAAATACTGAAATTAAATAAAATAAAAATACAAACATTTACATAGTGAAGATTTCTGAATGCAAAAACATGAACATATTTTTCAGAATTATTTTTTTAATTTTTGAGATAGAATCATTTTTCTTCTCCACCCTCATTCGTGCCACCGCGAACTGTCACCTTATCATGTTGGATCATCCATTCTTCGCTTTTCAGGGAGAGAATATCGAAGTGTTTGGTTTGATAAACGAGAAGCTCTTCAATCAGAAAAGCACAGGACAGATTTCAGCTGCAGGGCCATTTAAAAAGGTCCAGGATGAGTTATGAGTGTCACCTTGCAGCATCTGTGACACCCATCCTGGTTTATCTATACGCTATTAGCTGACCCGCTGCCACTGTGTCACGCCATCGTCCCAGATACCTGGACACTGCTGATGAAACTGATAACCAGAGATAAAGGTTTCCATTTCTATCAGATCTTCTTCCCACAGATTACTTGCTCTGTTCTTCGGATTTACTGTGCTGGTTTTCCTGATAATAAAAACCGATTTCACTGTGTTTTCCTCGATGCTAGAAATGTATCAAATAAGGATTAAAAAAAATAAGTGAGAAAAGACAGAAGCTGAGTGTGTGACTTGTTATAATAAGGTATTTAGAAAATTACCAGTTTTCACATCAGTTCTGGTTTATTAGAGCTTTTTACACATTTCCATTTGGGCTTCCTGCTGGGGACTTCATACTGTAATTTCTTATGATTTTCTTCCGTGCTTTTCCAATCAGCATGTGTTCAATTACAAGTGCCCTCTACAGAGTGTCCCATGGAGTGTATGTGTGTGTGTGTGTGTGTGTGTGTGTGTGTGTGTGTGTGTTTCTGCTTGTGTGTCAGTGCATATGTGCTTACGGTGTACTTCAAAAACCAATTAACTATTCCAATGTACTGAAATTAAATGCATACAAACAGACAAATCATTAAATACATGATTGATGCGTAGATGAGCTATAAAAAAGAGAGACGAAAACGCTTCGGTGTCCGTGGCAACAAAGAGATGCTGCACTTGTTCTTTCTATTGTCCTATTTACTGAGAACCATAAACACTTCGAACTGAAACAACCTTTTTAAACATAGAGGATGCAGACTGAGGTGACTGGTCACATACAAGAAAGTGTTCCAGTTACTTGGAGAAAGCCTGAAAAGGTTTGGGCTTGTAGAATTTTTAGCTTCTGCAATTGTAATGAAATAATAATCTGCACACATTTTGCACATAACCATGATTATGATGTTTTTCTTTTGGTTTTAGTATATTTTTGATCATCCCACACAGAAATAACTAATGAGCTTAATAAGTGGCAGCTTGCTCTTTGTTTATATTTAGTTATTAGTTATAAAACTCAATTTTGCAAGTTAAGAACATTTTCTTGATTAAGTTGCTTTAGCTTTTGGTAATTTGTATTTGTACTGTGAAAATACAAACCTAGTAAAAATTACGAGTAAAACCTTTGTGAGTTAAAATAATATAATTTTTGCATTAAAGTGTACGTCAACAACATAATCACTCCACTCCACCAACACAAACACACAAACACACTGATTTACAAGCTGTGATCATCAAGCAGTGCAGTGGGACTGTCGGAGGAAATACATTAACACACAGAGCTGAACCTCCACTGCTCGACCTCCATCACCAATCCTAGTGCCGCCTTTCACCGGCGGCCAAACAAAATCCAATCAAAGACGCCAGTAATCCTTTCTTGTCACACAAAGTGATAATTATCAAGTGATTAGCATGCTAATTCATTCATAGACAATTTATTTCCAACGACAAAACTAAACAGACATGCCTGAAGACATGTTACAGCATGAAAACCGTAGACGCCGATCGTTTAGGTCACAGTCAAAGCTTAATCGTATCTGAGTTAATTTCCTTTTCTTTTTTTTTAATGAGGCATGACTGACACATAAGTTATATTTACAGAGTGAGCTGTGCGACTTAATGCGGGTAAAATGTTTGCTTTTTCTGTCAACTTGAACGCTGGGAATTACTGGAATTACTTGGATGAGGCTAGATCGGAAGTTCTGCACCACGGTGCGTCCCAGAAGCGTCTCTTCGCTCTGCTCTACGTAGAATACACGCCTGGTCTATTTTTGAAGGAAACCGCGACACACTCCCGTCAAGCAGCGCAGAGCAGATCACACTGGCAGGATGTCAGACATAGAAACAGCATAGAGAATTTTCAAAATAAAACACCACACATGCAGACTCCGGATTAAGTTTCATGCTACATCAACATTGTGGCACCAGGAAAGAAGTCAATCAGTCAGAGGAGATCTGAAGCTGAGGAACACAGCGCTTTGTAATATTTTTTAGTAAAGAACGCTCTCTGTGGGATTTAAAGACGCACGGATCATGGAGCCATCAGAACACATCAAGGGTGGGAGGAGGTGAAATGCTGCCCCCTTGTTTTTCGTTTTCTTTTTTTTCAGAGAGATTTCAGGCAAAAGCTTTCTAATGCACGAAAAGCTCTGACGCAATCTCATAGCTCGGGCTGATTTCGGGTCTGATGACATTCATATTTCTGCCTGACTGACAGCTTTTCAGGAGATTGCACCATTCCAGATCTCCTACGGATCAGCCTCATTAACCTGATTCTGCAGCAGGTTTCTAATGTACGACCCCATCAAATCAAGAGAACTTCTCCGGGGCTGAAATGCACTCTCTCTGGCTGCTTCCATGAAAGTAAATGTGTAAATGTGTGAAAGTGTGTGTGAGACCGGGAGAGAGCGGAGGAGAGGGAGTGTGACTGGTTCTTTTGTTGTTGTTTTTTTACCACCTCTACTTTAACACACACACACACACACACACACACACACAGAGAGAGAGAGAGAGAGAGAGAGAGAGCTGTGTCCATTGTAACAAGGCCATTTTTTTTCCACAGCCGTCCCTCACTTCACTCAGCGGTGTAATTGAAAAGATGAAAAGGCTTTCTTGGAGACTTTCTAAGTCTTTAGGTACCTAAGAGAGTATGCAGAGTTCAGTAATGAACACAGCAATTTGCTTTGATTCACATGAGTCGTGCCTGTGTGTGTGTGTGTGAGTGTGTGAGTGAGAGAGCCAGAGAAAGGTGTGTGTGTGTGGGGGGGGGGAATGTTCTCTCCACTGTAAATGTCTGTGACAGACAATGTTGTACACCTGTAAAACTAACACACATGGAATTGCTGCTGGGAGCCATTAGAGCAGAATAAATACATTCAATATGTTTCATTAAGTTACATTAAAGCTGCAATCAGTGGTGTTTTAATGGCTCTTTGAACAAGGCACATTAAAGCGCATCAGTCCGTTCCTCCAGCGGCTGACCTCGGCGCTGGA